TTGTTGGTTAATGTTGTTATTGCAAAAACAGATATGAATCAGTGTACTAGGATTTTTACACTGATTGATTCAGTGTACGGAAGTTTTTAGGCTGTTGCCTGCAGTGTACAAAATGTTTTACCCTATAGGTCAGGGTACAAGAGGCCTGCCACCCTGATCCGAAAGGGTGACCCAAAACCAATTTTGGGCCCTGATAGGAAGAGGCTGGTGTAACCCTTCCTTTTTCTATTTGCTGCTCTTCACCCGTTGGCAGGTGTTGAACGAGATGACGAATGTCTGTACGTTGTCTGCCATGTCTGCCACACACAAGTTGGCCAACACATAGAGCCAGTATGGCAGCACATTCTGACTGGACGTGCAGCAAGTGACCCAAGAGTGAAGGGGACTGGATTTGGAACTCGCCCGCTAAGGTGAAGTTTGTTACAGTGATAGGGGTGCGCTTTTAACAAATCACATTTTGTTAGGGGGTGCGCTTATATTTGAGAACCGAATATAACTGCAATGCTCCATATAGAAGCCTATGCAGTTTTCCAAGGTCTGTACTTCGTAGTGTCAGCCCTGGCGTGGAGGGTTGCCTATGATTCAGGTGGAAACAAGGATTTCCCTCCACTAAGCCGCTGCCGCGCGTCTGATTTCAAGACAAGTCAAGCCGTCCTATAGTGTAAAAAGAAAAGGTATAAAAATGAGCAAGTAACGGTAAGTATCACAAACAGCAGGGCAGTCCCTTGGGCCCCCCAAAGCAATCAGGAGGCTGGAATGATGCATACAATGCAACAATGTCACATATGAACCACGATTACCTCATCCCAATCCTAGACTGGGTGTTCGGTGATGAAGCTGCCCCTATCCGCAATCATTTGAAGTTGTGCCTCCAGGCTGTTCTCACCCGCAACACTATCCTTCATCTCCTGGACCTGCGCATCCACCTTGATGGCAGCGCCAGATTCCTCTTTCCCCGCCACCTCCTCCCTGACAGCCTGCAGCTGGGTGGCAATGTGCGCCATGCTTGGGCGGCTTGCAGTGCGCTCCACGGTGCAGCTCACTGCCAGCTCAGCCAAGTACTGCACAACATCCCCAGGGGCGTCCATGGTGGGGTGCTTGAGGCTCTCTGAACCACCCGACGACAGGCACTCGGATACCTGACAGAGTGGAAGAGGATGGACAAAATTGCAAGTTTGCAAAGGTGAAAAAAACATCAGTTAGCCTATGAAGCATAATATTTCACTTCAATTGGAAGAATGCGATTATGGCAACATGCAACAAGCTGCCTGAGTGGAACTTACCCACACCACAATGTGCTTGGCCTCCCCAGCATCCTGGGAAAGTAAAGACCGTCCAGTGAGCACCACAAGCATGAGCACACCAAAGCTGCAACGTGCGAGAGGTGGTGAGAGCAATGCGATGGTGAGAGCAAGGCAATGGTGACATGAATGTGACCACTGTTTTTTTTTTGTGAATTCAAATAACATGTGGAGGATGTCAATGGTGTTCAGTCAAGAAGGGAAATAAATTGAGTATCCAACCAACTAGGCTGGATGGGTTGACCAACTAGCATTGCTTCATTACGTGCTTGTTCCAGGTGCAAATCTAATGCATAAGCCAATATCGACATGACGAGGCACATGCCACGTTTTTATATCCTCGGGAGTCTCCATTATTGGAGCCATCTCCCAGAGTCTTCCGGCTCACATAGCACGATCTTTATACGACTCTTGGCTCACCTGTAGACATCGCTGGCTGTGGTGGCCTTGGACGTCCGGTTGTAAACCGGATCCACATAGCCCGGTGTTCCCATGATTCGAGTCGTGCCCACTGTCGTGCCCTCTTCCACCCTCACCAGCCCAAAGTCTGCAATCTTGGGCTGGTGGGTGGTTCGACAATGTGATATTATGAATGCACCAGCACAAAAGAAAGAAAATTCTATGGTGACAAAACAAACGACATACGCTGGTCATTGGCAGTGAACCAGAATTGCACCCAGACACGGTAATCTCGAACGTGTAAGTGAGTGTGAGCCATATGCAGAATTAGATAAAAAAAAGAGACTCGCCGAACCAAACTAGAACACACCAATTATTTCGGCAGGCCCTGCCTATTCCTAGCAATTCTCATGGGTAGTTCTTCATTTCTTTCCACAGAAGCATCTTGTTATGCAGTGTGAGATGCTGCAACCGCGCTTGCCTGCATGTCGCTGGTGATGAGGATGTTGGCGGGCTTGATGTCGCGATGCACAAGGTCGAAGCTATGGAGATACTCAAAGCCACGTGCAACACCAATGAGGATGTCTAGCCGCTGCTTCAGACTCAGAGGAGCAGGTGCATCTGCAATGAGCCACGGGATGAGTTTCATGACAAGCATCACCAGGCAGCATGAGTGGCCTACCACGAGTAACATTGTACAAGGGAATGCGACACAACGACTTGCACACTTACTTGGTCCTATCCACTTCTCAAGGTCACCATTGGACACAAGCTCATAGATGAGGACTTGCTCTATCTTAGACCTGACGTCCCCTCCCACCGCAACCCAAGCAGTCGCACAATGTTGGGATGGTTCTTGTCGGCCATTTGCATGACCTGGAGGAAGAGATAACCGGCACACGGGAACAGGAGGAAGATGCCCGGAAAGAAAGAGTAGGTTGAGAAGGAAAGGAGGAAATTTGATTCTGCTCGCTCAGCTTAGGAAGAAGAATAGTCCTGATCAAAATAGATAGCGAAATTTTAGATGAAGCGTCTTTCTGTTTGAAAGTAATGGAAAACCGAACTGTCTTATCCCCATGTTGACTGACGGAGTCTGCAGTCCAGCCACCTCCCCATATGCAGCTCACTCACCTCCCTCTGGAATTCCGCGCCCATGAGCTTGGCGCGTTTCACAGCCCAGGGTGTGGTGGCATCGCGGGGAGAGACGCCCTTGTAGACATCACCAAAGGCACCCGAGCCAAGCAGGTTGTCCTGGGACCAGTCGTTGGTGGCCTTGAGGACCTCCGCTAGCGAGAACTCCGTGCAGTGCGAGGCTGCCAGGCTGGCCCCTTGGCATGGTCGTGGGGTGGGGGGTGAAGGGTGAGGAGGTAATGAGCAAGCCCTCGCCTTGTCTTGCCCTGTTGTTATTGAGCACACGCATACAAAATGAGTAGACATGAAGAGGAACCATCTTAACATGGAACGTTGAGAAGGTGTGGAGGTGGGACCTGAGCTGAACACATGGAGAACCAATCCTGCTTCTCCTACATTTTGAGCTTTGCCGCTTCTGGTGCCTGAAGCAGAGCAACATGGCAGCCAGAAGCAGGAGGAGAACGACCACAGCAGCAACAGCAATGCCAATGATGCCTCCCACTGATACACCCCCTCCACCTCCAGATGCTGCTGCTGGTGCTGCTGGTGCTGCTGCTGCTACATGAGCACAACAAAAGCATGTCAGCTGAGCAAAGAGATTCGATGTAATCTGAGCAAAGAGAATGAACTGCCATTCACAACAGCACAAGCATGGCAGTAGTGGGGGTGATTCAAGTAAACTAGGCACTGCTTCATGAACCCCACTAACCTGTTTCTTGCTGGCATGCAGAACAGGTGGTGCCACAATCTTGGCAGAAGGCCGCCTTTGGCGATAAGGTTTGGGCGCAGGTGGTGCTGTCAGCAGCAGGACAAGTGAGGCTGGTGCCAGATGTGTTGCTGCAGTGGAAGTGGGCATATCAGCACAGGAGAGAATATGCTTGGGGCAACTTGTGTGCAGATGATTGCATGCACAAGTCAAGAAACAGATTTATATAGCTGTCAACTAGGCATGGCTAAACCGAACCTTGGTTCGGTTTAGGCAAACCGGTTTGTGTGGAACCAAAGTAGAGTTATGTTTTCATCATTTTTGGTTTGACAAGATCCTGTTAGGCCAATTTGACCTGTTCAATCTCTGCTCGGAGGGGCAACTTGAGTGCAAGTTCAAATTCAGGTAGGGATGGGCATTTGACCCGGACGGGTCGGGTAACCCGACCCGCCCTTTAGGGAGGCGGAGATGGGAATGAAGAAGGACGAGCTCTGCAAGGTGCTAGTTTTAATCGACTTCCAACACCTGCAGCACGAACCAACTTTATGCTGGGTAGTGCTCTACAGCCCCCTGTTGAGACTGATGGCGGAGATGCAGGGGGTGAGGAACAGGATTCCTACTGGCCTAGCAGTCCTCATCGAGAGTGGCAGGGTGGTGGGCAGACCCGTGATGAAACAGGCGATGATAATGAGTATAGGCCTACTGTAGCGGAGGTCGAGGCGGCGGCGGCAGAGGACTCTGCAGCGGGGGCGGGAGGGGACGCGAATGTGGAGGAGGAGGTGCAAGAGCAGGAGGAGGAGGGTGCTGGCCGCAATGCCAGGGAACATGGAGGGGATAATGGACGGGGAGGAAGGGGTCGAGGGGGTCGTGGGGGGGGACGGGTTGGTCGCGGGCAGGGTCGGTCTTCTGCGCGTGCGCAGGCCGTAGGCAATGCAGGGGGGCGCAGTGGGGGGTATGCTAGCGCCCCCCAGTAGATGGACGAGGTGGGGGGAGGGTTGGGAGGGTTGCGCATAGTGCTGCAAGGGCTGGGCGCGGTGGCAGTGGTGGTGGGAGAGCGGCCGAGGCTGCGCCCGATCCAGGGCCAGGGAATGCACCCACTCAACGGTCCGATGGTGTTGGGTCTACGCCGTTGCATGCTGGTGGCATCAGTCGGGGTGGTGGGACAGCGGGGAGTCGTGGGCGTGCGTCAAAGCGTCAACGAAAGGAGGATTTGCCTAAGGATTCGGTGGTTGAGGGTTTGGCAGGGAAGCACTACCCTGGTTTACTTGTGGGAATGTTTGGTGAGCTTGAGGATGGTTGTCGTCCGTGTCGGGTGTGTGGGGACGTAATGGGATGGGATGGGGGTAGCACGGGGACTGGGTGGAAGCATGTCAAGTGCGCGCACTACCCTAATGTGCAAATTTGGGTGCGGCGGTTCCTGGACCCGGCGAAGCCAAAGGACCTAGAGTTTCCTTGGGGCGGCTATGGCGTGTCGGGCGATGGGCCAACAGTGCCCAACCCGCACGGTGGTGCATGGGAGCACGCGGCTGCCTGGCCGAACATCCCAGCTGCTGCAGCCGCGGCGGGCAGTGGCGCAGGGGGGGGGGGGGAGTGGGAGTCGTAGTGGTGTTGACATGCGCGCGTTCATGAGTCCAAGGGTGTCGCAGGACGAGTTACGCAGTGCTCTCGTGGAGTTGTTTGCTGATGCGGATCTTCCGTTTCGTCTTGTCGACCGAGCTTCGGTGAGTCAAACAACAACTACTCTACCCTCTATTCCTGCACCGGGAGTCTCAAATCCTGTCTGAACATCTCAGTTGGGTTGGGATGCCCTGGTACACAGCTGGGACAATGCTAAGTGTGTGTTTGCTTCTTTGTCCCTGCCCGACCTCACCAGTTCCGTCGATTTGTCGCCTTGCTGAATCCATCGGCCAAGGATTTGCTGGGGTCACGTTACCGTTTGGCACGGGACATGCAAGCATTCAGTGAGGTGGCTCGAGAGGAGCTGAGGCAGGAGATCTTTGGCGACGGTCTCGCGGGGAGGGTGTCCCTTAGCTTGGACATCTGGACCAGTGAGAACCATACAGCTTTCATGTGTGTGACCGTCCACTGGATCACTAGTGACTTCAGGCTACGTTCGGGGATTTTGGATTTCGTGCAGTTGGAGGGTTCGCACACAGGGTCTCTCATAGCACAGACCCTCGAGCGCATCTTGACCGAGGCTGGCCTGCAGGATGTAGTGTTTGCTGTGACGACGGACAATGTGGAGAACAACAACAAGGCGATGCGCCTTCTGTCGGGGGACCCAGCAGAGGGGCCAGGGGCCTGGACAGCTAATCCACTGCTCGACATTGCGCGTCACGTTCGGTACGTCCTGTCATGCATCGATTCAAATGTGGCACTTTGGCAGCATACTGTAGTAGTAACTTTATCACGAGGTGACATCAACCTTAGCTAAATCTGTTTCCTTCCCTTATGCCCTTTTCGTACACAGCTGTCTTGCACATGTCATGAACATTGCAGTGCAGGAGGCATTGAAGTTGGACGATGTGAAGGAGGCGTTGAAACGCCTACGGGATGCGTGTTCGTACATTGGATGGTCGGTCCAGCGGTCAGAGGCTTTTGCCAGTCTGCAGCGCAGGTTGGCAGGCAGAGACAACGCGAAGGTGCTACGTCTGATCTGCGACTCGCCTACACGTTGGGGCTCCACTTACGAGATGATCTGCCGTGCCTTGGAGCTGCAGCAGGCACTGACGGTGTTTTCCAGCCGGACTGACGTGAGTGATAGGCTCCGGTAGTGTGTATATGTTGGGTGATGGTGAGTTTATGGGGCTGGTGTGGCGCACCAAGGGTTGTGACTATATTGAATGGTGAGTTTGGGTAGCTGGTCAGGGGCTAGAGGAGTTGTGACTGTATCGAATAGTGAGTGTGGGAGAATGGTGTGGCGCCCAAGGGTCCGTGAGTATGGGCAGGATTTGAAAGGGGGTTGAGTTGTCTAGCATAGTTTGTCGGTATGTCTGAAGAGGCTATATGGATGGTGTATCAGCTCAATGTTGGGACCCATCTAGTAACGAGTAACTTCATCACCATTGTATACTAAGTTTGTGAACCCTCTGTACCACCCTTGTTGTTGTCCTATACCAGCCCCCCCCCCCCCCCCCCGTAGGCTACGCGAGCAGCTCGACAAAATACGTCTCAGTGACGTCCACTGGGACGCGCTTGTCGAGCTGAAGAACTTTCTTCAGCCCTTCCACTCGATCACCAAGGTAGCTGAGGCTTCCTTGTACCCGACAGCTGCAGCAGTGGTGCCGCTGTACAACCAACTGCTGGACAACATGGAAATCACCTACCGCGAGCCAGCCGTCTCACCCCTCACACAGGCCCTCATCACCAAAGCCCTCGGCAAGCTGAAGAAGTTACCCGTACGGCACCAAGGAAGAGTTGGCGATCGCCACCTTCCTTGACCCCCGTTACAAGACCATCTTCTTCCAGATGCCCAGTGGGAGGCGCTCAATGCAGCGCAAGTGACAGAAGTGGGGGGATGTGCTAGGAGTGTGCAGGGCGTGGATGAGCCGACGGTGATGCGCCTGGTGCGCGATCGTTTGGTCGCATATCAGGAGAGGGTGCGCAGTCGGGGAGGTGGTGGTGAGGTTACGAGTGGCATGGGGGAGGTCACTGACGGCGCTGGTGTTAGTGTTCAGGCCGCAGGGACGTCGCGTGCCGCTGGCAGCGGGGGGGTTAGCTTCCAAAATGCGCTTTTTGCACAGATGGATGCATTTGAGGCAGCAAGGGGGGGGCAGAGAAGTGACGAGGTGGACATATACTTGGCTGAGGGTAGACAGAAGGGTTGCCCGCTAGCGTACTGGCGTGATAGGAAGGATTTAGAGGGTTTGAGGGAAATGGCTCGGGACTATCTGGCAGTGCCAGCCACATCTGCAGCGAGCGAGCGCGCTTTTAGCCAGGGCAGGAACGTAGTGACATGGCAGCGTCACCGCTTGAGCGCCCCTCGTGTTAGCGCCCTCATGGCTATCAAGTCATGGATGGCGCAGAACACGAGCGGCAGGTCATTGAACGTGGCAGGGGCTGCGCGTTTGCTTGTGGAGTTGTGCTATGAGGCCGTGGACGATGGGTTTTGAGCAATGTTTGCTGCGGGAGTGGTCGCTATAGGCCTTAGGCCATTTGCCATAACCCTTTTGGAGATACAGTAGATTTTATTTATTTCCATGCTTGATTGACATTCACTTCACAAACAGGGTTGTTGTTCTATTGACATACGCCATAGACATTTGTTTGAAGCAAAAAAAACTACTGCATTTCATGTTTGGATGCCCTGGAATTCATGCACCTTGGGCTAGCGTAAGGTACGTATAAACTTAAGAATATAGTTGTAACATGTAGTTTACAATGTAGCAATTTAGACCTAACCCCCATACCCTGCTGCTATGTAACATATTTTGATCCGACCCGACCCGACCCGTGGTGTAACCGACCCGGTAATGGGTCACAAATACCCGTTCCCACGGGGCGGGTCGGGTCACCAAAACAGAGTCAAACCCGACCCGCTAACCCGACCCGACCCGACCCATTAAGCTAACGGGTCGCCCTCAACGGGACGGGTCGGGCCGGGTCGGGTCAAATGCCCATGCTTATTTCAACCACTCCAAATGTCCAGTTTCCAACTAGGGCGACCATAATCTGAAGTAGAAAAGAGATCGTGGTCGTCATTTCGCCACTCTCCCTCTCATACCGATTACTCTTGCCCATTATCCAACCAGGGCGACCCCAATCTGATTGCTATGTTGCTATGTGCAACATAGCAAAGGGGTGAATGGAGGCCGAAAACAGAACCAGTTCGAATTTGGGTCGAACACCTTAGTGTTCGAACCGAAATCAACACTGTTCGACAGCTTAGTCGAACAGTCGAACCGTGCCTTGAAGACAAAGGCACAACTTTGAAAGCGTCCAAATCAAACCTGTTCGAGCTCGACTGTTGCTCATGCCCATAATCAAGGTGGGAAAAAACGATTGTACAAAGGCACAGCCTTCATTTTAAGGGTATTTGATGGCTGTGTTGAGAAAGACGCGTCCAATGTCCAGACGCTGGACGCTTACCTGTCTGTGAATAGGACGCTAAAAAAACGCTGGGCCAGGCAGGGTAACAAAATATTACGGGTAGGCAAAAAAACCGTATAGGAGGTGGAGAGCGAGTTTCGGGACATTGCAACCACATTGAACATGGTTTATCAATATAATCTCAAATCAACACCGAAATTCCACAAAACTGAGATTTGGGGTTTTCGAAAGAGAATCAGGTAGACTAGGAGAGAAAGCTCTGAATGTCGACCTGATTCTCTTCATACACTGGGTTCAGGTCGACAAAATTGGGAGGGGGAGATGCAGTGCGGTAATGTGTGGTGGTTGGGGGAAAAATGATTTGCTAGCGATTTTGCTTTGCAAAATAGCAGAATCACTCCCATTCGTTCGCGATTTTGCTTGGCGACATCGCTCCCATTGGGTAACGATTTCACGGAATAAACGATTTGATGAAATTTAGCAGGTTTATTTTTTTCGGGTAGCCCAAAAAAGATCCGCCGACTGCCCTGCGTCTTCACGTGCGTCTACGTCTCCTTCCTAAGCGTCTTCCTCAACATAGTTTGATGTATCTTTGGGGAAATAAAATATACGTTTATTTGTAACACATACATACTTATATGTTGAAATAACCTTAAAAAAGCTTCACAGCATCCTCGGGTCTGGTGCATCACCAACACTTCAAATCTATGTTGCACCTGACGCCCTGGAAGGGCAAGCGTCCAGCGTCCGGACGTTCACGTCCGGACGCTAGACGCGGTCAAATCGGTTTGACGCTGGACGTTCGGGGAAAAAAAATCGGGCAGCCCGAAAAAAAAATCTCCTGCACGAAATTGACTCGCGATTTCATTGCGACCAGAATTGACGATGAAATTGCCATCTGGGGGCCGCGTTTTTGACCTAAAAAACGCAACCCTCACTTATTCCCCCCCACACATTTGTACCCATCCACATCTACCTCTCCCAACCTGGTCGACCCCCAACTAAACTAGAGAACCAGATCTAGGTCGACATTACACAGATCTGTTTCTCTCGACATTGTCAAGCATTCCTTACACTAGAATTCGCCAGTCACGCTACTAAGCCTTCCTAGCTAAAATTAGGTTGAGGCGATTAAGATATTATGTCAACTCCTAGTCCCGCCGGTCATTCTGTTAGTGCCTCCACGCCTTCTGGAGATTTTCAGGATTTTCTGGATATTATGGAGTATTTATAACTATAGGTGACATATGTTAACTTCTTGCATTCTAACCCCTTGCGTATCCTTACTAGGCAGGTTTTTTTACCCCTGCCCGGAAAACATTTTTGCCCTGCCCGGACTAGCGTCAAGCGGGCGTCCAGGGCAGAGGGCACCGGGCGTCAAGCGTCTAAAACGCCTGACGCGTCAGGCGCAACATAGCTTCAAATAGCCACCTCACCGTACTTACAAAACAAACGCCTATGGAACAACATAGACATGAGCGAAAGCTCAAACGCCTGTTCAGTTCGACTCGAACATGTTCGATTCGTCGCCCCTTTTTTTTTCATGGTATGACAAACATTGAACAGTAAAGTGTCCGCGTCTAAATAGCATGCCAAGCTGGCGTTACTGGTTGTATATGTCACAATTCTGAGGTTAACACCTAAGAAATCCTGACAGAGGGTGTAGCGGAGGGTAAAGGTGGAAATCCTTTACATTTGTATATAAGCGAAGCAGACTGTGGCGAGGAACTGTAATGGCAGCGGTGTGGCAGGAGGAGGCAGGTGGCAGGAAGGTGGGTGCGAGGGATTGAATTCGGGGAAGGGCGGCAGTAGCGAAGGGTGGGGGTGTGCTGGCACGGTTGGCAGAGAGATGACGTGGATGGGGGTGCGGGTGGGGAATGTGATGTATGATGTGTGGTATGCATGTGTGTGCTTTGGTTTCTTCTTGCAGACATCGAGTCCAGGACAGAGCTGGGAGGCAGCAACGCCAGCTGGAGATGGGTGGGAAGGTAGTGTGGATGGCAAGCTAGGCAGCTTAGCACTGTTGCATTGTTAGGCTAGCCTTGCTAGGGTTTGTGTTGGGAAGCTTAAGGCAAGGTCCTGGGCCATGGGACTGCCACTGCGTGTTTGTTTTCGTGAATTACTGCAGCATTCTCCAAGATAAGCAGTTCTAGCACGGAGCCATAACATCAGTCAAGATGAGTTAGGAGGGAGATTAGCATACAAACACGCAGTCTATGCAACTGAGATCGGGACGGCAGTTAGAGCCGGTGACGGTTAAGTTGAGCACGGGCAAGGAGATAATGACCGACGAAGGGAGTAATCGGGCGGCGAACCAGTCGCAGGAGACAGGGAGAACGGAAGGCCAGAACGGGCCTAGCGAAGGGGCGAGTGGACCGCAAGGCGGCGCTCGAATCGATCCAGGGGATGGTGGGAATAACGCGTCCGATGAACAGAGGGAGCGCCTGCGCAGCCAGCAGCCGGGGCGCTCGCAGCCGGGAGGACCGAGTGCTTACCAGCGAAGCGCCTCATGGCAAGGAACTGAAGACGAGACGACGATGCAGCGCTGGAAGTATACGCAGTTGCCCAAGATAGAAGTGCCAGAGAGATTCTCAGGAGACGCGAGGCGCGGGCCGAGTTTGAAGAATTACATCATGCAGCTTGAGAAACTTGCAGGCGCGCTGGGCGAAAGATCGGTTGGACCCGGAGTTCTTCAGGGGGCTTGCAAACACGTTGGCGGCAGAAGCTGAGACCTACTATCGAATCTCCAGGAGAGAACTGCTGGAATGGGCAGCAGGGCGAGCACCTGGCGAACGGGACCCAACGACGCGCTTTCTAACCATGCTTCGCGAGCAGTTTCTCTTGCAGACGGCGGAGAGGGTGGTCGATTTCCGGGGATTCCGTCGCAGGGAAGGAGAGTCGCTGCTGGCTTACTATGGGAGACTCGTGGAGCTGGGGGAAGACATGAACTGCACCGACCAAGGACGGCTGATAGGGAAGTTTGTGAATGGGCTGAGTCTGCCCCTACGGCAGGACGTGGAAGTGCGGGTGTTCGAGATGGGATCGGAGGCCACCTTGAAGGAAGCATATGAGATAGTGAAGCGTGTCGAGACAGGGCGGCGGCTTTACGAAGTGCGGACTGACTGGGCACTTGCGGCGAGATTTTCACAACCCCGCGGCCTGTTCGCTGTGTGGGAGCCGAGATCACATGCGAAGGGAATGTCCAGCCGCACCGGTCTCCGCGCGGTGCAATCGGAAAGGACATCGGGAAGCAGACTGTTACGCGGGGCGAAGGGAACGACGGGGTGCGGACGGAGGGGAGGATCGACAAGCCACTATCGCGCGGCTGCGAGCTCAACTGGCCGAGCTGGAGGCCTCCGAGCAGAGAGAACCGGCCATGGTGGCGCATGAAGAGGAAAATGCCGAAGAACCCGAGTTCATGCTCATGGCTCAGCCAGCGCGCGATCGTGACGAGTTAGGCCTGCGGAGGACCACAAGAAGGCAGAACTTCCCTGAGGATGCGCGGCGAGAGGAAGGGCCGAGGCGACGGGCGAGTGATAACACTGAAGCCCCAGGAGCAGCGTTCCGACACCCGAGGGAGAGGATGACCTGCCAGGCCACCGTACTAACCATTGCAGCTGGGGCGGTTACTATCGGGGCTTCGCGGCGCAACGGGCCATAGTTGATACGGGCGCGGCACATGTACTGATCGGGGAGACGGCTGGCGGAGAAGCTGCAGCTGCACAAGCCGGGGCGGCTGATAGCGGAAGGCTACCTCTTGATGACGGCAGAAGGGGGGGAGGCGAAATGGATGCCCAAGACCAGGCAATCCATGTCGCTAATGCTCAACCAACGAAAAGGAGTGTGCGCTACGAGTGGATTGTGGAGTGTCAGAGTCAGAAGACTTCGACTTGCTCATAGGAGTGGAGTACCTATTTGGGATCGGAGCCACCATCTGTATGTGGGAAGAGAAGGTGCAATACCGGGTCTGCTACTAGGAAGATGATGGGCCTATTGGGACCTTGCCGGTCCGCTTTGTGCGAAGGGAACCAAGAGAGGCATACCAGTGCACAGAAGCAGAAAT